ATGAGAAATCTGGTGAAGCTTTCAAGAACCTGGCTGAAAATTATGAAAGTACCATAAAGGAGGAATTTGCAGAAGGAACATTTCAGAGACTGTTTTGGGAGCAGCAAGTAAAAGCCCTAAACTGCCCTGATTCTCGTGGTATGAGATGGCATCCTATGTTTATAAAGTGGTGTCTGAACATAAAACTTCGATCATCTGCTGCATATCGCACATTAAAGGAGTCTGGTGTTATTCATCTACCTAACGAACGTACACTGCTTGATTATACTCACTGGACAAACAGTGGCAGTGGTTTTTCAGCAGATGTAATGGAGCAGTTATATAGGGAATGCAGCTTTGAAGAACTGGCTGAGCATCAGAAGTATGTTGTTCTAGTGCATGATGAGCTAAAGATACAAGCTGATCTTGTGTTTGAAAAAAGCTCAGGGAAACTTGTCGGTTTTGTTGACATTAATAATTTCAACAATTCCCTTGCTATGTATGAGAAGAACCTAGATGATGGACCTGTGAAGCCTGATATAGCAACTTACATGTTGGTGTTTATGGTGCGTGGTGTTTGTCTGCACCTCAATTACCCGCTAGCCCATTTCCCAACCACATCTATAACTTCTGATTTCCTATTTCCACTTGTCTGGGAAGCTATAGAAGTATTGGAGATGTACGATTTCAAAGTTATGGTATCAACATCTGATGGTGCTTCTCCAAATAGAAGATTTTATAAAATCCACCAGTCAGAAGACCCAGAAGAGCTGATAACGTACAGAACACCAAACCACTATGCAGATGATGGGCGGTTCCTGTACTTCATGTCAGATGTCCCACATCTCATCAAGACAACAAGAAACTGCTGGGCCAACTCTGTGTCCCACAACAACAAGAGATTGTTATGGGTAAGATTTTTTTTTTTTCATGTCAGTCACTTCGTTTTTTTATTATAAATGTCGTCTAAATAGAGCCTACACCGGTATATAAAGAAAATTGTTTGCTGTTGGGGAAAAAAAACAAATATTTCCATTGTTTATCACTGACAATCAGCAGTGCACAGTAACCAAAAATTGCATTAGCACTTTCTCTTCCATTACAACATTCTTTGGGGTTGTGATTAGTGGCAATAAATTTACTGTCCAAACCTGTATGAACTTTGCACATACATGTATTACCCAAATCCATAGTATTGTGTCAGATACATGTCATAAGTAACTACATGTACTGAAGGTGTTAATACACAACAATACTACAACAGAAAAATAATTATTATTTCCAGTTACAAGATATGAGCGAATATTATTTTTAAAAATGTTTTGGAAAAATATGAAGCTCTTAAAAGTAGAAGCCTAGTCATAATTTTTGACAAAATTGGTCATAAATTGCATGACAATGTTCATTAGTTTATTATGTACAATCATGAAGCTAATGTCCCATGGTACAATGAAATAGCATTATTTTGTATGTTACAGTTAAGCTATATGAGAAACGCGTCCTAATATTTCTCGAAAATTGCTATTTTTAGAACAATTCCATAGAACACAATGTTAAAGAAAAATTGCATTTTTGACACTTTTTAAAACCCAGATTTTTTAAATAATTCAGAACAACAAAAAGTACTCCATCATTAACAATATATGGTTTTTTCAGCCTATGTCACCAGGCTAGATTTTGAGATATTGCATAATATCTCTGCCATAGGAACCTGTGGTAAAGTGTTACAATAGTGTCAAAATGGCGACTTTCCACTAAAATACAACCATTAATTTCTCGATAAAAAGGCTGGTGACCCCCAACTTTTTTTAGGTCAATATCCTTATATTGCCTTTGAGTAAAATTTATTGCAAAATGAATAAATTCTTTTTTTTTTTTAATTTATGAGTAGGCTTCTACCTTTAATTAAAACTATTTTATTTTTTAATCTCAGTTGTATTTCATTTATCTGCAGAATGGAGATCATATTGTGTGGAAGACACTGGAGGACCTATATAGGGCTGATTTGGAGAGGGGAGGTTTATTTCTCTGCCACAAATTAAAATACGAACACATTCATTTGACTTCATTTTCACGAATGAAGGTGAAATATGCAGCACAGGTAAGGACTGAATTTGTATCAATTATGATTTAAGTTACCAGGGGTATGCTCTTTTTTTGACCCCACATACAGTCAAAAAGAATTTAAAAAAAAAATGATTTTATTGTGCCAATTAGGTGCATTTTTTTAAAAATGTTCCAGGGAGAGCATGTATATAATTTTCCTTTTAAAAAAATTCTGTAAATGTGTTAAATAATCACAAGCAATTTATTGTTCAGATTTATATTACTATTGTGCATTTTGAAATTAAACAGTATAACATGGCTTTGAAGTGGGAGAATATTATTGACAGTTTTTACTGGGACCAGCCTTTTTTGAATTACAATGCATTATTTTTTTTTCTTTCCAGGTTTTGAGTTCCACTGTGGCAAATGCTGTGTCACTTTTTGGACAAAAAGGTCCACATATAGCCCCTACTGTTGAATTTATTCGAAATTTTGATAAATTCTTCGACTGCCTGAATGTTAGAAGCATGATCGAAGGTGTGAGGAAAAGAAAACCAAACCTGATGCCTTACAGATCTCCTGATGATCCTAGATTACAGGTAATATACAAAATATTGTTATCCCCATAATGTCTTTGTGTGTGTATCCCTGATTCATTACCAAAATTATCATGAATTTCAGTAATGTTGTAAATACATTTATATAAGTTCAGCTGGACATGCTGATGCACTTATAAGTTTGCTTACTTGTCCGCAGCTCTGTTTTCAGTTCTTGGATAAAGATCAGAATAATGTGAGACATATCTGTACTGCTTCATTAATAGTTTTAATAATATACTTAAGTGTAACCATATACCCTCTAAAAGAGGGATAGAAACATAAATCAGGGGGAGTACCGCAATTTCCTAACACATTGCAGGGAAGCATTTTATAACCTCATTCAAATTTATTTCACTTTTAAAACAGTGGTTGAAAGAGGACTTCCTGGGGTATTTGAAAGAATGGTCTGAAAGAGTTGATAACAGAGATGAATTATCTCGGAGTCAGAAAAACAAAATGAAACTTAGTAATCAGACCACTGAAGGCATTTTCATGACAGGTGAGTGTTGTCAGTAACTCAGTTTTAGTTGGATTGGTGATTTTTTTCTTTCAGTTTGCTGACAGTGTAGTTATTAATTATATATCACAAAGATACAATTTTTTGTATTTCCCCATTATATGCAAGTTGGCAAGTATTTTACTATTTTTAAGTTGTACCAACATTGGGATTTGAAATTATTGTTCCTGATGGTAGAGTAGACTCAGATTTGTGTTTTATTACATGGGTATACATAATTTGGTGCCTACAAATCTAAAATATAAAAATTTCAGCTTGGCATAACCAAGGGTACTGAGAGTTTTTGTTTTTTTACTCCTACCATAATTTCCTAGACCCTTTATGTGGGCTGACTATTACACTTTTTTTTCTTCTTTGTTTTCACAGTGAACTCCTTTGTTGATGTAACAAAGTACCTACTAAGTCAACCTGGTGTGGTTTTTATATTATCTGAGAAATTTAACCAGGACCCCTTGGAGAGCTACTTTGGAAACCAGAGGCAGATGAAAGGTGGTAACGAAGCCCCATCAGTTCTTCAGTTTGGATATTGTGCCAATGCATTAAGGATGAAAACTTCAAATCTGCTCAGAGTGCGTGGAAGTAACGTCAGGGGGCCAGTTGCTGATGCTGAAGTTGACCATACACCTTTACCAAAAAGACGCCGTTGAGGGTGATGCTGCTAAGTGAACACTTTTTTACTGGGGCGTACAACAGACTGTAAAATACTTCACATAAAAATGTTTAGGCATTGTTATGATGGATCCTGTTTTCACTCTAACTGGAATGAATCTAATTATGTGCATTTTTGACAGTAAACAGTCTGATTTTTTTTCTGTGCTTGACAGGCAGTGGAATCTGTACTGCTCAGGATGGTTTTATTTATTGCTGGCCTTTTTTTGTAAATAAACAGTGATATAAATTAATCTTTGTCGTAATTGTATATACATTAGGTTGACAAAAAAAATATGTTTCTCGTTTGTTTTTCCTTCTAATGCATTCCAAAATACGCTTGTACTTGTCTCAAATTTTGGGTCAGTATTAAAAAAAAATCACCTTATTTTAAAATTTCCATGAAACGAGAAACAGAATGTTTTTCCCTGTACCCAAAATATCTTCCTAGTACAGCCCTCATAAAATATGTTCCATACACTAGTAAGTCCCACCCAAGAAAATAACACTGAACAATAATTGAAAATATTTTTTACAGTAGACTAGTTTATTGAAATATTTACTATACACAACACTGAACAATTTATTGAAAAGTCCCCATAAAAAATAAATGAAAATATCTTTGTTACAGTAGTAAGTACCCCACCCTTCAAAAAAATTAGATCACACTGCAACATTGCTTGAAAATATTTTTTTATACAGAAGTACAGTCTCCCTAAAAATTTGTAACATTAATATATTAGTTAGTACCACCATAGACCCTTATTTTTAGAGGGTCTATTGCACCACTCGCCCCAAAAAAACTATCACAGTGAACAATTGAAAATATTTCCATACATAAATAAAAAAATACAGCCCTCCATTCTCTCCCATGCCCAAGACTGGCTTGTAAATATTGAGACTTCACCAGATTTATTATACAGCCATATTATGCATCAAGAGTTTTTAACTCTTTACGTAGGCCTTTATTTGCACGTTGTGCTAGTCCTTGTTTGGCCTTATATTGCTGGATTAATTTTCTCGCTTCCGAATGTCCCCTTATATTGATCCACATTTTAACACACATGAACATAAGATTAATAGCGGCATCTTCTTCAAGACCACTCGACAACTTTGACCAATACTCTAAAGCTACTCTATCTGAAAGTACTGAACTAATAACAGAGTCATGAATATTCTCAGTGGCAAGCACTAATGAATTTACATTCTCTCTAATAAAATGTTCTACTCTTCTGAAAAATATGTAGGCATTGTCATTTACAATGCATAAGCCACCACGATTTTCTTCAAGTACCCACTGTGTTGTGTAAGATAAAAAAGTTTTCTTCATTGGTTGAGTTGACTGCATGTTCGACAAACAATTCAACATACTCGACGTTATATGGCGTCGCTTCTTTGCTTGTCTTGTTAATGCCATTGGTATATATCCACACGCATACCGAAGCACATTTTCTTCAACGCTGCCCATCTTTACTACTGTGCTGACACCATCATCTTTGTCAATTCGTTCACGTTTTAATAAAATGTCTTCAAATATAGCATTAACAAGACAAGCTCCCTGCGAATTGACAAAATTGTGACTTGCCTTGTTACATAAAGCTTTTAAGGCCTGTTTCAGCTCTATGGTATGTCGCAGTGAATTGTATTTCCGGTACATTGCCTCTCGACGTGCAGAAGTGGAGATCATACTATCACCAGCGACTACTGCTGGCCACAAAATGTCTATTACGGCACTTATTTCTTTTGTTGCAGTATTAGCTACACACTGTAGTGCCTTTAGTAATGTTTGCAGATTGACAATACCTCTGGCAAATGTACCAAGTTTAATATGATTCTTTGTCAACATGCTGCTTGTGGCCGACATCAGTATCTGTTCTGCACTTTCAATTGCTGTTTCTTTGGTGTAGGTAGGGGGTGGTCTTTTGGCTGTAATTAACACAAAATTAAAATTAGATATTTATGCACAATATAAAGAAATAAGTTTCCTGGCAAGTCTGTAACACACAGCTAATATTTTTTTGCAGTTCAAAGGGTAAAATAATAACAGGGCCAAGAATGAAAAAAAATCTTGCATTTTTTTACATTTTTTAATTTGAATAAAAGATGGTGCCCAGGAGTTAACCTACGTAGTGTAGTT